AGTGGCTAACCGGCTGGTCCCAGTGCAGGACAACCATATGGGGAAGTGCTGTGGGTGCAACAGCTTTTGAAATTGGTCTGAAATGAACGGAGCATTGGCATGGCAACCTTTGCTTTAATAATGCAGCCCTTACACCCGAGACGGCTCCCTCTTCTTTCGTTCACCCGGGATTGCTTGAAGACAGGCCATGGCTTGCTTTCCAACACAATGGGCACGGCAAAGGTGCACCGCAGGCGGGGTGAGGGGTCACAGAACGGGGAGGAAATGGTTCCTGGAGTACTTGGGAGGGAGGCACCTGGAGGCCCACCTTCTCCCCGGTGGGCTTGCTGCTCATCATGGGCACAGGCTTGGAGTTCAGCATCGGGGGCTTGCTCAGCGCTCCCTGCCACCACCTGAGCCCTGGGCATGACTGCGCTGCGGTAAACCTAAAGACCAGGTTCGCCCAGCACGGCAAGCAGCCACGGATGGCTATCAACCCTGGTTTGTCCTGCTGTTCTCCCCTAGTCATGGTGACTTTCCATGAATACATGGTGACTTGGGAACCATCACGGGAAACAACGGGTTGTTCTTGCGTTTCTCCCTGCCAGGATGCCTGAGCTTGGACCACACCCCCTGCAGGAGAAACCCCCCAAATACAAGAGCGTTGGCCACCCAGCAGCAAGTGAGGGTGACCACCCACCGGCCTCCTCCCAGACAGGGGCCGGGGAGCCAGCTGAGCGGCCTGCCCCTCACGGCTGGGGGTGGGTTGGGCTGCTGGCCATCTGCTTCAGAGGGGGGATCCCTGATCAAACCCCTCGTGCCCTCGGCTGTGCTTCAGGGCGTGAGCCCCGTTTGTGCAGTCAGACCCTCACAGCTGTGGGGAGCCGACACGGTCCGAGGGGGGAGCCTCTTCCTCCGCGGAGTGTGCCCTGGATACTGCCTGGAGGACTGAGGCTGGGAGTCGGGGGGGCGCCCATCCGGCTCCGCCTGGCATGTCGGCGTGGTCACCGGGACATTGGTGCCGCCTCGCCTCCCCTCCCCTCCCCGAATTCCCTGTTGTCTCTGAGTTCAGCTGCCATCCCCAAGGCAGGGATTAGTTTTCCCAGCATCCACACACTGCCCCATTGCAAAGCAAAGGATGCTGGGTTGCTGGGTCTTGAATGGGCAGTGAAGGTCCATCAGCTTCCAGCACCTGAGGGAGATGAAAGCTGCTGGAACGGGACTTGGTCCAGAACTCTGCATTCCCCCCTTGAAGACGTGGAGAACCATGGTGATGTGGTTGCAGCAACATTCGCCAGAGAAGTGCAGCCCGGGAACTTGGCCTGGTGGTCGTGGGGGGCAGACCTGAAGGGGGTTTATAACATCATTCATAGTGTGGATAAAGTGGGGGAAAGCACCCTCCTCCCCCATGTTAACAGCAACTGCATCGTCTCCCAAAGGAATTGATTAGTAGTATATTCAGGAGAGGAGAGAATATTTAGGCTGGAATTGTCTGCACACATTCTTAAAATTAAGGAAGTACAGTGCGTTTGCTTGAGTGAACAGCTCTCATGCTTATGGAAGGGGGATATTTTCCTGGGTGAGTGAGGATGGATTTAATGCAGGGTGAGTAACCCAGGGTAGCAGCAATAGTAATTCTGCCCTACTGCGAAGTACTAGGCGGAGGTGTGTGAGGCGGACATGTAATGTACCGTTAACTAACAGAACTCGGTGCTTGGAGGGGCAGTCCGCTTAGCCGGTGGATCCGGCTTGAGTGCCTTTATGAGCTGCACACAGGCCTCTTTTCAGATTCTCGTAAGTGAAGCTGCTGAAGTCTTGATCTGTCCAATCCAGTAAAACCCCTTTTCATTGACACTGGCGATCAGCCTCCCAGATCCCAGGTGCCCCCAAGCCCCGTGCCATTTTAACAGGAGATTAGGGATTAAAGCCGTGTCTGTCTATATAAACAGGACCGTCCCTCTGGCCCTGCACAAGGCAGCTTTCTTTCTAGCTCCTGCCAAGTTGATTAGTCCCGAATGAACGGAGCACCCGGCAGTTCTTGTGGCTGCCCTCAGGTTCCTTCACTGAGAGGTAAAGAGGCAGGAGGTGGCACTGTTTTCAGCCATCCTGTGTGGGTGGTGTTCTCGCCTTACCCTTTGTAAAAGCAACCTGTGGTAAGATGGAAGTGCAGAAGTGGGGGAACCGGGCATCCAGAGCGGCTGGGGAGGAGAGGCTGCCGAGTCTCCCCGCTGCGGTAATTCAGCTCGGTTACTGTGCCAGCACGCAAGTGCTTCCCGTGTTGTTTTGGCCTGTCTGCAGGCAGGCGGCGAGCCATCTTTGCAGGAGGACCAGCTGATGAGGAGAGCGCCGTCCTGCAACCTGAAGGGGCCGAGGCAGGAGGGCTCTGGGGATGGGGGCAGCTTGCGCCTGGAGGCAGGGCTGGCTGACCGAGGGGGAGCGGCTGCAGGTGGGGGCTGCCAGGCACTCATCTGGCAGCCGGCTTGCATGCAATGCAACCCTGAGGCGAGGTGGAGCAGAGCCAGGGGCTTGCCTTGCCTTGCAGCTCCTGCGGCCTCGCATGCCTTCCTGCTGCAGATCGGGCGAGAGCCGCCTCTCCGTGGATTTTCCCTTTAATGAACCGAAGAGGTCCCTCGCCGTAAGCCGCAGCATCGATCTGTCTAGGCCGGTGTTGTCTCCACTAGGAGTGCGGAAACCACAGGCTGAGGCCCCGGTCTGGCCCCGCTGGGTTCTTAATCCCAGGGGTTTCTTATTTGTTTTTATTTATTTATTTAGGATATTTTCATCCCGTCTTATACCAACCGTCTCTGGACGGCTTACAATACGCCTGTCCCCACCGCTTCCTGCAGCCTCCGATGCTTTGCTGATTTTACGAGTATGGCTTTTGTGTCGCCTTTCCTCTTTCTGAAAGGTGGACGTGGCCCCCAGGGCCTGGTTACAGGCAGGAAGACCTCCAAGGTGAAACACACGGCTATCTTGACCCCGCTGCACTTGCCTTTGGCATCACCCGCCAGTGGAATCCACCTCCCACCCAGGTTCTCCAAAAGGGTGTTCGGCCCAGACTGAAGGTCCTTCGAACGCCTGGTCTAGCTGCTGGCAGTGTGGGTGGCCATGTTCCCTCCGTGCGCCACCAATGCCGAAGCTGCGCGGCTGGAATGCCGTTTGCGTACTTGATCCTGAAATCTTCCACCTTCAGGGCTGGCCCGTCAATGAAGCTTGTGGTGCCTTTAGGTGACTGGGCGAGTTCATGCAAACATTGGGAAAATGAGACACGGCGGGGTCTTTTCCTCACTGCTGCCCATGCTGGGTGCGCCCCATGTGGGAAGCATGGCCTGCCGTGTGGTCCCAGTGCAGCGAGGCGTGTGGCGAACGTGGCTCAAAGCTGTAGCACCTGCAGCGGCTGGAAGCCCCCTGCTCGGATGACATGATGAACGGCACTTCGCGAGGGTAACTGGGAAAAGTTCCTGGCATGCACAGGTGTGGGGGAAAGAAGCCACCCGGCTGGTGAACAAGCAACTCGCTCTGGGAACTTCCTGATGGATTATTGTAACACGCTCTAGGTGGGGCTGCCCTTGAAGATGGTCCAGCTAGTTCAGTTGGTTCAGAACAGGGCTGCCAGGATATTAACGGGGACTGGCAGGTGTTCACATATAACCTCGGTCCTCTATCTTCTACACTGGCTACCAGTCGAAGTCCGGGCCCAATTTAAGGTGCTGGTGATGAACTATAAAGCCCTAAATGGCCTGGGTCCGGGATACCTGAAGGAGCGCCTTCTCCCCGTGTGCCCTCCCACCCCTTGAGATCCAAGCCAGAAGCCCTCCTCCGGGAGCCGTCCTTGAGAGAGATCAAGAGGGTGACTACCCAGAGCAGGGCCTTCTCTGCGGTGGCGCCCCGCCTGTGGAACACGCTCCCCAGAGAGGTCTGCCTGGTGCCAACGCTTCTGTCCTTTTGGCATCAGGTGAAAATCCTTTTATCCTCCCAGTATTTTAATTGTTAATTGCTAATTTGTTTTAGTGGTTGGGGGGGGTTATATTTTAACATTGGATGCTGGGCAATTATTCTTATTCTTTATTTTTTTGGACTAATTGCTGTAAACCGCCCCGAGACTTTTATGAATGGGATGGTATGGAAAAGTGTTAAATAAACAAAAATAATTGGCCACTCAAGCATAAGGGCCACCACATGCTGGAGATGCAACCTGTTCTGGGCCGTGCTTGCCTCCTCCCAGCCATGCCTGGGGACACCTCTCCCGCAGGTGCGCGACGCCCTGTGCTGCTGGAGCTTGTGAGGCCCCATCATTCTAAATTAATCTTGCATTCATCATGGTAGGAATGGCCATAATTAATTTATTTAGCATTAATGTGGATGAAATATGTACTGTCCTTTCGAGGGCAGCTGCACAGCCAATAGAGGCTTCTATTAAAAGGACCATTAAAATCAGAACTTCCCCGGATCCATTAGGGCCGTTGCTTTGCACTGAGGAAGATAAAGCCCTCCTGTGTGAAATGTCATGCATAATTGGGTCGATTGTCGCTTTCAACTCTGCCCCTTCCTCCACAGCCTTTTCTCTCCATTTGCAACACTTCCTTTCCGAAGAGGCTCTGTTGGTTTCCCTTGCTTGGGATGGTGACTCATTCTGTGCAGGTTTTCAGTGGCAGAAAGAGCTTTAAAAATTAGAATTGGTGCCTACCTAATGCAAATACTGCACTGAGAAAAACTGCACGTGATGCAGATTTGCAGCTTCCGATTTACATAATTAATTCTGCCTTTGCTGGTCATTGTTAGGAGTAAGTTGCTACACCGGGCTGAGAAGATCAGCCAGCGGAAAGCTGCCCGAGGACATCTTTGGTTTCTGGCATTTTAGGAGGCGTTCCTTTTAGTCAGAACAGTCAGAGATGGTTTTTAAAACACGAACACAGAGATCTGTCAGGATGCCGGAATCTGTGCCTGCTGCAGCACCACATTTGCCTCTTTCCTGCAACTCTCGGGTTACAGGCGCTGACGCTCGCTGTCCTCTCTTGCAGACGCTTCGGTACGAAATGCACGGCGTGCCAGCAGGGAATCCCACCCACGCAAGTGGTCAGGAAGGCCCAGGACTTCGTCTATCACCTGCACTGCTTCGCCTGCATCATCTGCAACCGCCAACTTGCCACGGGTGACGAGTTCTACCTCATGGAGGACGGGCGGCTGGTGTGCAAGGAGGACTACGAGACGGCCAAGCAGAACGGTAGGGGCGGCCAAGCACGCACGCACAGGGGTGGCACCTGGTGAGCTTGCTGTAGCCTTACCTGCTCAGGTAACGTCAGGTCTTCAGGTCTGTAAATGGCCACTTGCTTGCTGGACCACTTGACACGAGGGCGCCTGCAAATTAGGAGCAGGCAGGCCTGGAAACCCTTCTGTGGACTCGTCGTGTTTGGGAATGTATTTGCCATGAAGAGCTGGGCTGCTTGGGCAGTGAAATGAGATGCATCTCTCCGCCGGAAGGGCTGGTTGGTTCTGTGGGTGGCTGACCTTGAAAATGGGCCACAAGGGAAGCCGAAATTACTGGCTGCACCCTATGTAGTCGAGTTGTAGCCCCTTGCCAGCTTGCCTGAGTTGGGCAATGGAGGGGAAAGCTGTGGATCCCTCTCTGCCTTGTGTCCCTGGAAGTTGCAGCAGAGAGGCAGGCAAAAAGCAGCTCTCCCGGCCATTTGGACTTCAGTTCCCAGAAGCCCCTGCCAGCTTGGCCAAAGGCTGGGGAGGCTGGGAGGTGGAGTCCTGAACAAACGCAAGTCCATTTTCTGTGAATGTTGTAGGCAGCTGCTTTTGCTGCACCGGGCTGTGCTCGGAGCTGCGCTGCTTTTGAGCTCAGAGCCTGCCGAAGGTTTGTTCTGGTGATCCCGCTTGTAAAAGGGGTGCACCTGGATGGAGAGCTGCGCGGAGCCAAAGGCACCATTGCGTGACCTTTGTGCCTGAAAACACGCAGGCCATGTTTTGCAGAGTATATTGCTTGATATTTCGGAAGCTGCCCCATGCTGGGTCCACTTTAGTCGACCTGGCCCAGTAGTTCCAGGGTTTTGTTTTTCCTGCCCCACCTGGAAATACCGAAGCTTCGAACCCGGGACTTTCCGCATTCACTGCATGTGCTTTGCCACTGAGCCTGCATCTTCCCCACAGAGTATACAGCTCTCAGTCCCCTCTGCAGGAGTACCCAACCTAATAGGATCCCGGGAGAGAAGTATGTCTCTTTCCTCTTTGTTCTGCATCAGTTTTCATGCACCCAAACTGATCCTGAATCAAGCCAGTTACCCTGAGCTATCTAGCCACAAGCCTGGCCCGGAGATGAGCACACCCTTTCTACTGTCCTTTATCTGGATTGGCTTTTTCGCAGTAGAATTCCCCTCTCTCATCCCCACCTTTGGTCCAATCATCCCAGTTCTGATGGCAGCTGGTTGGGCCTGATCCTGTCAGGGCTTGATCCAGCCACGGGCCTGATAAAAGCAGCTGGGCACTTTGGATCCTGTCATATGTAACCTTGGCTGGAAGAGGGGCACATGTAGTTACCGTCCACTGGAAAAAACCAGGTGCAGGGAAATAAAGAAATGTATCCGCTATCTCTCACTATTTCTACTCCCCCTCCTACTCCTAATAGCAGCAGCATTTATATTGCACCTATTTTCCTCCTACAAGGAACTCTGAGCAGCTTCCATAGTCCTCCTCTGCTCCATTCTGTTCTCACAACAACCTTGTGAGGTGGGCCAGGCCCGCTTAACCCAGCCTGCCATTTTCTCCTCTTGCTATCGATCATCCGCCCAGCCCGAGTTACTTTGCTTCGCTCCACGACGGTTGCACCAGAACAGGCGGTGGTAGGGGAGGCAGGCGCCGAGCAGCTAACCGCTCAGCCCCTCCACTGGCGCCTGGGTCCTCTTGAGAAGCTCCAGGTCCCCAGGCCAGCAGCTGGCAGCAAGGAGCTCTGGGGAAGCTGGGCACCTCACTCCAGTTTAAGAAGCTGGGCACTTGGGAGCTGAACGTAGCCCCCCGGCTCCGCTGCACTGGAGGCAACAGCACTGCATCCGAAGCAAATCTGGCCCTTAACCTGGACAGCCTCCCATTTTTCATCCCGAGGCCTGAAATGCCAATATTTACTGTAGGTGAAAAACCCAGAATTGGGGGTGGTTGAGGGAAGTGAGACAGAAAGAGGCTATAGATCACCAAACGCTAATGAATCCACAGAGACTGCCAAACGGTGCCTGACTGAAATTAAAACTGAACTGGTCTTTAATGGATTTCATGTTGACAAGCCCTGACTTCTCATTAATTAAGGACTCTATTTTGACCTAATCAATTTGGCTAGGGTGATGCAATGCCTATTTGTGCTAAGGGGATTGGTGGGGGAGGCAGGGCTAGGAGATCACGGATTGAATATTGCTCGATTTCTGTTACTGACCCCGCGCTATCGATGGCTTCAGTATCGTAAAGTTTGCAGCAGGGGCCCTGCAAAGAAAGCGATGAGGAATTCCAGGGAGTGGGCTGAAGGGCACCATTAACGCTCAGCGTGATTAGTGGGGAGGGGGTTGTGTCTTTGCAGTAAGGCGTAGGTCAGTGGGGACCCATGGCTTCTGAGGCAGGCCAGAATTTGTTGAGCTGAACTTTGTGCGTCCATATATTGGTGCAGCCTTTCCACATGTGGCATCCTCCAGGTGTATTAGGAAAGGCCCATCATCCTCAACCAGGATGCCCCTTGAAGGGGGATGATGGGTGCTGGTCTAGCACATTTGGGCAGTAGCAGATTTGGAAAGCTGTGTTAAGGTTCCCAGTTATCCTATTCCCGCTGATAGGCAGAGTGGGACTGGCTGTACCGCCTTCGATGTGCTCTTGACTTCTGCTTTGACTTTGCCAGCGACCCTCGCCCAGCTTGCAGATCGCTCTTGTGACATCCCAGCCCAGACACTCTGAGCGGTTCAGCAGTGAAAGCAACCCAGAGTTCACCCACAGTTTGTTCTTGGGTTAACCCCTAAACAAACCAGAGTGCCTAGGCTTGGATGTCACGAGAGCCAACTTGTGATCCTGGTGGTGGCTGGTGGCAAAATGAAAACAGAAGTCAAGAGTGAGTTCCAGGCTGCACAGTCAGTTGGCCACTCACTCGCCCTTGTGCCTGGCAAATCCTGGATTACTGACTTAACTCATGATTCCCAGTATGTGTGAACCAGCTCTGCACGCACATACCCTGGGCGATCTGGTCTACAAAGAAAGGAACCGCTATGGTCAGGATGGCTGCTAGGGTTGTTACTTGCTGCGTGAATGTGGGGTGGGTGGGTGCAAAGCATATTTTATACAATCTAACCCGGCACCGTCAACATTTTACTAGTGACAGAAACAGATTTTGATCTCAGTGGGACAGGGACAGCCTGACTTATAAAACCCTAAATGGCTTGGGGCCCAGCTATCTGAAGGACTGACTACACCCGTATATACTTACCTGCACCCCCAAGATCAGCTCAGGAGGCCCTTCTGAAAAAGCCACCCCTCAGGGAGGTGGAGGGGGTGGCATTAGGTGAAGGGCCTTTTCCACTGCTGCTCCCCATCTCTGGAACTCCCTTCCTAAGAAAATTTGCCTGGCACCATCTCTATTTTCTTTTTGGTGCCAGTCGAAGACATATCTTTAAAATAAAATAAAATAGCCCTCTTGAATGCTGTGGCCTTTTTATATTGCTATTGTATTGATCTTTTTAATAGTTTTTAATATGTTATGGATGTATATGTTTAATATGTTGTAAGCCACCTAGAAAGGCCTTTGGGCAGTTATGGGTAGACTATAAATATGTGAATAAACAAAGCATTTTACTGCCTGAGATAAAGCTACAAATAAGGTGCACAGTGCCCAAAAGCAGCCACGTGGGTTTGATGCACAAAGCAGACATCAAAAACATAGTAGCAGTAACACAGAAACAGAGCGAGTCAGAAGGGACCCCCAGGCCATCTAGTCTGACCCCCGGCTCCAGCCGGCTCCGCTCACGACATGCCCACCATGCGCATGTCCAGTAGCACATATGCAACTCATCATTTCCTGCCCTTTCATGTAATCCAAATTCCACTCCCTGAGGCAGTCACCTCATTCCAATTAGTGATACACCTGCCCCTGTTCGCCAGTCGTTGGCCAGACCTGAACTGGATTTGGAGCTGCAGTGTGCATTTGGTTTCCCTGCAGGGAACTGGGTGCGCCATTGCCTTAAGAGGAACTTGCAGCCCTAGGGCTTGATCGAGGAAGGGCCTTCTTCTAGAGGAAGGGCTCCACCTTGGGCCACTGCCCAGCTTTTGAAGCTCACGCTCCCCAGCACCTGCCCCTCTGCCAAGCTCTCCTGGCTCTCTGTGTAGCCTTTCAGGAGCAGAAGAACAGGGAACTCTGCTTCTACCAACACAGTTGCTGACTCAGTACATACTTGGATGCCACCCCTAGCCAACAGCGGGGTCCATCATTCCACTTGAAATGTCACTTGTTGACCTGATCGCAAGTGCAGGTCGCTTCTGCATTTAGGTATCGCAGACGCTTATGGTCTTGCTTTTTCCCTGAGGAATGAACACGGGGCATGCATACATGCGGTTCAGCAAATGATACAATCGAGTGGTGCATGAACCCGCTTTAAATTACTGCTTCATAGTTCCAAAGCACAGAACTGCTGTTTAAAAAAGACACCCGGTTTCAGAGTAGCTGCTTTTGCATTATTTAATGGAAATAAGGGTAGAGAGCGCCTTATCCAAGAATGGTCTGCCTGGCCTCTCCCATCTTTATATTCCCTTGATCATTGCAAGGTAATAAGAAACAATCACACACCTGTTATTTGCTTTAAGTGGACACTGGAGGCCAGTGCTGGGAAGACAGGGACTGTAAGATGGAAATGGAAATGCATGCACAGAAGTTTTTGAATTAACCAGTCAGCCCTGAAGCCACTATGTAAATAAAATCAGATTGTGATCAAACGCTGAGGCTACAACTTAAGAAATTGCGTCGATTTTCATACATTATTAGCAAGCTAAGCCGCGTTTCTCAAAGCTGTGTGTGTGTTGTTTCTATTACTCTGGAGGAATCAGTGAAAACTCTTGTGCCCCCATATCTATCAGAACATGGGGAGCTATAAAAGAACAAGTGTACTGTGATGAAAACTGCTCTTCTCACACCTCTTAACACACCGATTCTCAGGGTCATTTCGTTATGAGTTAAAGGTAAACCACAGGGCACATGCTCAGCTTCCAGCTTTCTGGCAATGGCACTGTTGGAATGTAGGCATTTCCAAACAGATGTTTATCACATCCATCCTTTGCATTTTTAGCTGTACACCTAAAAAATGCAATTAATACATGCAAAGGTGCATGCATGTGGGCACACTGGCCAAATGTACCGGTGTTCTCTTCCGTTCTTGCCATTTTTATCAAAACAGGCACCTGTTTCTGTGTCAGCTTCTGCTTCATGCCCCATGTTCCAAATAATGGGAAACTGTTTTCTTGCAGATGATTCAGAAGCGGGAGCTAAGAGACCCCGGACCACCATCACAGCCAAGCAGCTGGAAACATTAAAAAATGCCTATAAAAACTCCCCCAAACCAGCCAGGCACGTGCGGGAACAGCTCTCCTCTGAGACTGGACTGGACATGCGAGTTGTACAGGTGAGTGAAATGGTATAAAATGGATTCTGCCTTCAGCTAAAAGAGATTTTATGGCATTTCTTTCTTTTCCAGAATTATTATCAAAACTAAGCCCCCCAAATTCCCACCCTCCTTCACTTCTTGGGGTTAATGAAGCACTTTTACAGGCTGCTACTGATTTCTGGAGCAGAAATAGGATGAACAGACGCATGGAATTTAGGGCCCACTGACAGCAAATGCAGAAGAGGGAATTCCAGGAATTCCATTACAGCCTGCACCTATTTTCATCTGGACAAGGCCCATTAGCAAAGGCCCTGCATCACGAAGGACGCTGGATGTCGAATTAATTACAACATAGGTGAACCATCTGATGGCGGCACACATTCAAACACCCCTGTGGTTGTTTGGGGATGACTTGAAAGTAGTCCCAAAGCTCCAGCTTCTTGAACTGTTCTGTGAAAGGGTTTGGGCCCGGGAGAGAGGCTTAGGAACGATCAGACCATGTTCTTTGAGGGTTAGGTGACTTGTTTTCTTCACCGAACTTCTCAGGGAACAGTGAGCTGCTTCTTCCATGTTGCTTTGTGGCTAATATGGTTGATCTTTGATGGCCAATGAGTTGGTTCGAGTATGTTAGCCTGTCTTGGACTCCGGTTCCTTCCAATTGCTATTGTTCCATTACTGATAGCAACACTTTATACAGGGGTGCTACCAGTTTTCCCCTTTTATGACTAGTCAGGGTGAGTAGCGTCTTCATAGAATCGTAGAGTTGGAAGGGGCCATGAAGGCCCTTGGGTCCAACCCCCTGCTGTTGCAGGACACCACGTTCCACCAACCCACTTAAATGGCTTTCCAGTTTCTGTCCAGTTTCCCCTTGAATGTCTCCAGTGTGGGGAAGCCCCGCACCTCTCCAGGCAGCTGGTCCCACTGCCATATTGCTCTGACAGTGAGGAAGCCTTTCCTGATGCCCAGACTGAATCTGGGTTGTCGCAACTTGACTTGATTATTCCGTGTCCTGCACTCTGGCATCAGCAGGAAGAGATCTTGACCTTCCTCTTTGTGACAGCCTTTGAGGTACTTATAAAGCGATTATCATGTCCCCCCTCAGTCTTCTCCTCTCAAGGCTGAACATGCCTACTTCTCTGATCGCCACAAAATCAGTGGTAGAACCAAGGTTCAACCACAGGTTTTCTATGTCAAATATCTGTTCCTGTCCCCCAGACCATGTTAGAAATCACCGGTTCTGTTTAGAAGCGATTTTCAAATAGCAGCTACATCAAAGACAACTCCCCACCCTTTCCTTTGTGGTTTCAGGTTTGGTTTCAAAACAGAAGGGCCAAAGAGAAACGTCTGAAGAAAGATGCTGGGCGGCATCGCTGGGGCCAGTTCTACAAGAGTGTCAAGCGGAACCGAGGGGGAAGCAAACATGAAAAAGAGAGCTCTGCTGAGGACTGCGGAGTTAGTGACAGTGAGCTGAGCTTCAGAGGTAGGCATGGGAAGACCAGGAACCGGGGAAGGCAGACTTCAAAGGCTGGGCCTCCATTCATTCATAGGACAATGGATACTTGCTTTTTGAGGCAGATTGAGTTCCAGATTGGAGCTCAAACGTTTATGCCTGGAGTTACCCTAGTTCAGGAGTGAGGAACCCCTTTTAGGACAAGGGCTGCAATCCCTCTTTCTGCTGCCCAATTCTCCCCCCTCCCCTGCCATTTCCCAGCACTCTGTGGCTTCCAGAAAGAGGAAAGATCAGTGTTGCTGGAGGCCTGAACTGATCACTTGCAGACGGCTTTTGACGTCAGGGCAAAGACTGCATGCAGACTTGCGGCCTCAGGTAGCTGAATTGCCTCCTAGTCAATGTGGCTGTGCTTATACAGTTCCTCCAGTCCTGAAAGCAGGGATAGGTAGAGGAAAGCTTATCCAAGCACCTTCCTTTGGATGGAGAATGTTTTGCACTATGTAGCATGGGTTCACTGAAGCCTGATTGTCTGCAGTTATCCTGCCTGCCTTTCCAGATCCCTCCCTGCCACCCCTCACTCACACTCCGCCAGCATTCTGTAGCTGCTGAACATGCTCAGTCCTAATTAGGGTGTGGGGGCATTGAGGTTTGTATGTAATTAAAAATAAACAGATCTGGAGGGTTCCACAACTCTGCAGGTACTTCAGCCTTGCATGCAGTTTTGGCTACTTAAGGCAGCACTTGGAGCATGCATTCTGCGTTATATGTACGAATAGGACACGATGGTCCCGACCATCAACAGATGGTCTTGAACATTCACCTGAAATAACTTTACAGATGTTCACGCTTGGCTTCAAGTACAGATCAGCGTTTAGGGGAGCCATGTTAAAACAGACTGTAAAATGGAGCGTTTGTAGTTGTAGTTCAAATAAATGGGGAGAGAGTCTTAAAAACAAACACCAGGACTACTGTCCAGCCAAGCGGAGAATTGCTGTACATGCCATCAAGTCACCTCAAACTTACGGAGGCCCCTCCAAAATGTCCAGCCCTTGACAGCCCTGCTCAGCTCTTGGGAACCCGCAGCTGTGGCTTCCTTTGTGCAGTCAATCCATCCCATAGTTGTTCTTCCTTTTTTTCCTGCCTTCAACTTTGGCATTAATGCCTTTTTCAATGAGTTTTGCCTTCTCATGATGTCCCTGAATTATGACTGCTCCAGTATTGTTATTTTTGCTTCCCATTTGCTTCTGTTGCCCATTTTGCTTCCCAACCAGAAAAGTAAGTTCTTTTAAACACCACTTTAGAATTTTAAGTTTTGGGCTGGGGGACTATCCCCCCCCCCCCACACACGCTGAATTAGCAAGTGGTTAGAAACCAGTTGATTGGGTAATGATGATGATTTGATCTGAGAAAGCTCAAAATACTGTTATTTTAATTAAGTCTTTTCCCTACATGTACAATAGGTTTTTGGGGTTTTGAGGCATTAAATGCTCATCTCAGGATTTCTACACGATGTTGTCATTTACATACCCATAAGATTTTTACACCACCTTTGAAACTGAAGACTTCCTTCATCTCCATTGCTTTGTGTGTTCCTGAATTGGGAATTGGAACAGTTACGGGTCATCTCAATCCTTAAATTGTCAATTAGAGCCATTTCATGACTGGGCTGTGCAGAAAAAAAAGTAATGAATTCATCCAGGTATATGCGCTGGTCTTCTGGTGCTTTTAGCGGTTGCCCAGTCCTTGTTCCAATAATGTAAAATAATCTGGAGCCATAATCCAGTGGCAGTAATGGTTCCGAGAGCTCTTGGGCGAGGGAATTTGTGGCCCTACAGATGTTGTGGGACTGTAACTTCCATCAGCCCCAATCAGTGTGGGTCACGGATGAGAGACAATGGGAATTGTAAACCTGCAATTAGGGGAAGGGCATAGATTCCCTTACATAGGGGAACTTCACTGCCTTGGAATCAACCACACTGGATAGAAGAGGCCCCCACCCCCTTGCTTGCCAAAAGTATGACGTACTCTTACCCACTGCTTGCCCTGAAACCCTGTTTTCTTGCTTTGTTTGCAGAAGACCAAATCCTCTCAGAGCTCGGCCACAACAACCGAATTTACGGCAGTGCCGGCGAGGTGCCTGGCGGACAGCTAATGAATGGTACTTTCTCAATGGATGGGACGGGCCAATCCTATCAGGACTTGCGAGATGGAAGCCCGTATGGAATCCCACAGTCTCCAGCCTCCATATCGTCCCTTCCATCACATACTCCATTGCTAAATGGTCTGGATTACGCAATGGACAATAATTTAGGAATAATAGCACATGGAGGGCAGGGGGTGAGCCAGACACTCAGAGCTATGGCTGGGGGCCCAACCTCTGATATTTCTACTGGAAGCAGCGTTGGTTATCCAGACTTTCCAACAAGTCCTGCCTCTTGGCTTGACGAAATGGATCATCCTCCTTTTTAAAGTATCACATTCCCTTCAATTCTGCCATATTCTCACCTGCTCTTTTCGCCTAAAAGCATACTAAAAACAAACCTAATGAGGGACGGCCGTCAAACTTCAAGGATCACAAGTGTGCCATCCCAAGAAAGTTTCCATTATTTTAGAATGGGAATCCACTATTTGTTTCTTGTAGAGCTGAAAGAAAATATGGTATTAATATATATATATAAATATATATTTGCTTTCTGTTTGAAAGAGTGGGACAGTAGGAGGAGCTGCTTCTGGATACAGCACACTGGCGTGTATACTACTTGTATGACCTGACCTTAGGGGTGCAAGTTATAGGAAATACAAGTTCATTGACTCTTTCCATGGAGCGCTGCTGTTGAGTGTGATGCGAGCACATGTTGAAAAGACTAAACAAGTTTTTGGCCTTGGGCAACTCCACATCAACTCTCACATATGGATGGCAAGGCCATCGTCCTGTTTCCTTGACTCTAGGCACCCAAACTATGAAGATGCAATATTTCTAAAGCCAGGCTGCAGAGAGAGACCCCTAAAGGGAGGAAGAGCAATTGGGAGTTCACGGTTTTAGCCCTTCCATTTTCCCACTCTTCCACTTCTCTGTTTTCCAGTTCTAGATTTGCTTGGAAGATTCACGAATGAGGGGCAATTCTCTGCCTTACTCAGGAGTCACTGGGGCACGTGCTTTGCTCCCCCAACCACATCATGGGGACTGCCGCCACCTTCCCCTCTCTTTTCCTTGCCTCTAGCATGACCTGACAGGGTGCATGGGCAACAGCAAGGTAGAGATATGGTCTTATCCTCCTATTACTCTTCTCACTGTTCTATGCCAGTGCTGTTTTTGTCAAAGGGGGAAAAGCAGAATTGCAGTGAACTGGGCAACAGGCTAGAGGGGATAAGAGGAAAAGCTAGCCTTGCATAGGCCAACACAACCCATACCATGTTGACCTCAGTAAGCAGTGACATCACAGCCAGCTGGGTTCCTGATTGGGTACTCAAGTAACCAGTGATCCTAGCAAAAGCAGATTTCTATTATTTTTAATATTGGGTGGGGGGACCAACTCTTCTTTTCCTTCCATGGAAAAGTGCTAACCCCACCCCACCTCTCCATAAGGCACAACTTTGTCCGGCAGCAGTCACCCGGCAAGTCCCCTCATTTTGGGGTCCAACATGGGTTAAAGCTCACGGCAGAGGGGACCTGGGCATAGTCAACCGCCTCCATGATTCCTAGGTGCCAGCGCATGGCTCAGAGGAGGTAACAGGCTTTGAGCTGTACACAAGTGAAGCACAAGGCTATATCTGCGGATGAGAAAGGGGGAGTTTTAGTGTGTACAAAAAGAACTGGCTTATGCATTTGACGATGCCCGAAACCTGATGCAGCAGGATGGGCTGTCTCCATATTTAGGCCCATGAGATAGGTGGCAGGTTCCAAGCCGTGCAGCCATTTATAACGCCACCACTGGGCTGCCGCAGAAGAATGACCCAGTGATCTGTGCGTGTCCTCTCACCTGCTTCCGAGGAGAGGCACGCACCAGTAATCTGATGAAGCTTCTTTAGGAGATTAAAAATTGTTCAAAGGTCACCCACCGAGGAAAGCTTTGCAGGGTAGGTAAAAACATGAAAGCCAGAGAAAGAGAAATATCATGACAATCACTTGCGGCAAGAGATGAGCCAAGCCAGAGGTGGCAAGGGACTTTCAGAGTTGACTGGAGATGGGGACATTCCATTCTGTAAACAGAGGCAGCTCTGTGAATAGAATTCGGTTTCTCAAAGTCTCTGGCTACATGGAACTACATTGTCCTTAGAGCGGCTAATGCAGCCAAAAGCCCACTTCACAGAATGTTTCTATCAATATAGCTGCAAATTAGTATGAGACCCCCTCCCCCCTTTAGACTCTGATGCCTTTCAGAATCTGGGCAGAGCTTGTATTTCCAGGCAGCTATTTGTGTTTTGTCATTCAGTAGCAAAAGCATGGTCACATGGCTGCGACCTGAAAAACAAAGAACTGACTTATGCATAGATGTTCATTACTTGAGGACGGAATGGTCACATTTCAAACTCTGTGCCAGTCCATTCACATCAAGCCACATCTCCTTAAGCACAACACTTCAGTGGAGCCAGTTTATGTACACTAGTGTTTCATCACGTATACATGTGTGAACCAGCCCTCAAAGCTCTGTTTTAAGAGATTCACACTGCAGGTACGAATTAAACAAACACACACCACTTCAGAGCGTATAAGTGCCATTCCACTGCAGAGAAGTAAAAATGCAGACTTGCGAAATGTCTACAAATATGTGCATTTTAACATCCATGAGGGATGAACAGGACTGAACTGAGCCAAGTCTCCCTCCATGGTACCATTCCACATCAAAATAATAGGTGAAGGAGCATCTTAGAATGTATGTTACAAACAGTTCCACCAATGAAAACTCAGATATTTCACTGAGTCTCTGTCTGCATTGCTGGCATTCAACAGGGACACGTGAAAGCCATTCCCTGCTTTAGAGAGCTGGATATAATTTGGACCAAGTGTCTTGTTATTTTACATTCAATTCTGGTAACGAATGTATGCCATACAAATCTGGAATGGCTATTGATTCCATGCAAAAAGAACTCACATTCCTGCTGAACAGCACAGTCTCATTTTCAATCGAAACCTGGAATCATTTCAGTTGGTTTAAAATCAGTCTTCGATTTATCCTCTAGTACATTTAATAATGGTAATAACTGGCATTAAGGAATTGCAGTTCAATGTGAATCTGAGTACCGACTGATGGTTCAAATAACCAAGTGCGGCTTGAGCCCCGCTGAAAAATGTGTGTTCAGTCCCCATGCCACAGTTCCCCCATCTTGATACTGTTCCGAAAAGAGCCACATTTCCTATACTTTACCTATGAAATACCAGAGCTATGCAACCTTCCTCCACATCTCATCGATTACCACGACTCTTTATAGTTCTAAGAGTAACGCAGCTTTATTACTGAAAAGTTGTACCGTTCAAGAGAGAAAGCTATTCTATTATCACAACCACTTTGCTGCGATATTAGAATCACAAATTGAAGAAGTTAGCATAGGTACAAGTATATCTTTTGCCTGATCTTTTAGCATGGGCATTTTGTTTTGCAAATACTTCCACAAGCCTGTTTTCCAGGCACAGATCAGCGCAAAAACTCCCAACAAGCAGGTGTATGTTTGCACATGTTCCAGGAGGGGCACTGGCCATGTTGAGCACAAGTGAAACTGCTAGAGAAGACCAGGAAGAGATTCATATATCAAATTTTACTAGCACCAAGGCAAAGGAAATATGTCTATTTTTAGCTCACGGAGATATGGACATTGCAGGGTTTGGGGTGTTCTGCTTTTGCATGTATGGCTGAAGCTTTCGACACTACGGCACGGACCTACCTAATGTTAAGCAGCTTCAAATCCTTTTGGTTTTGTGTGGGAGAGATAAACATGTGCTTTAATGTTCCCACGGGTGTTAATGGAACTTAAAAAATCTTTCACTGCATTATGGCAATGTTTGATAATCTTCCTTGCTTATACAGCATTACTGCAACTTTACCTTGTAATTTATCAAGAATTATATATAAATTGAACCTGCCCCTTCCACTTCACTTTCTTCAGTCTCCACAATTCCATTAGCCTTAAAAAAAAAAAAAAAAACCCAACAAAAACCCAGTGGTGATGAATGGCCTTTAGCTGTTTGGTAGCAACACAATAAAGAACAATTAGCACTAGGCAAAGATAACCTGGGGAGGCCCATGGCTCCATAGCTGAGTGTGTGCTTTGCAAGCCAAGTGTCGCCAGTCCAGGCCCTGTGGTCTCCGGTTGGAGCAGAAATCTCCTTCCCGAAACCTGGGTTCTGCTGCCACCGCTGAGCTAGCCTGTGTTCAGAGCTGGCATCCAGGGAGGGCATGGCTGGGCACCTGCCTGGGGGCCCACACCTCCCCAATGCCCCCTCCAAATGGCTGCTCCTCATCCCGCTGGCTCAGCTGCCCCCTGCTTGGGCCCAGGCAACCAAGCTGAGGTGCACGAGAGGCCATGGCCTCTCTGCTCACTGGCTTGTTGGTCAGGAGGATACATGGCACCCATGAAGAGGATGAGGATGAGGAGCAGGAGCAGCTGGTGACTGTGGGGGAGAGGAAGCACGCACCTGGGGGGGGGAGTTAGGGGGCTGGGCACAGGGGGCTGGAAAAAAAACCTGGAGTTGGTGTTTCCTGTGCTTCTAAGAGCCGAGACTTCTGCTTGGCATATGAGAAGAGACTCTAAGTAGGGGGAACATGCTGAAGATGACTCTTTAACTGCATTACAGAACATTTACGAGGAAAAAGCGCGCATGGGAGGGAGTGCCAGATTCTGCCAAAGGTAATAGATCGATCATGTGAAGCACCCACGATAGAGCAGCAGAGGCAAACACAATCCCTTTCCCAGAGGCAGACCACAAATTGAGACCCAGGCCTAAATTTACATTTTATTGCCATCCAAGGTTGCTTTAACATTCTTAGTTTTCATTTTGCTCTATAATGTAATTAACTTGTGGGGAACTTATGCAGCAGATAGGCAGGCCACCAGCTTTGTGAGAATGACAGACACGGACATAGATTTTGTTGTATACTTTGTTTTTGGTTCCTGGCTACTAACTCTATGAATAAAGGCGTGTGTGTGTGTGTGTGTGCGCGCGCGCACGCGCAGCAAGCCCGAATCCAAGCAGATGAAGAGACTACCTTTCAGCTAGGCAGTTTATCTCTGTTACTTCCTTGCTCCACAATAGGAAATCTTTACACAATCAAATTGAGGAGGACAAAAATCAGTAGTCAGAAGGGGAGGATGGATTTCCAGAACTTTCTACCAGAGGCAATAGGGTCTCAAGGCAAGTGCGTACCCATATCGCCACAAGCCTCAGGGGTGTCAAAGTGGCTACAATTGCACACGTATGGTGATTTTATTGGACAAATAACATCAAGTGGGAGAAATCCTTGCCCTGGAAAAGTATGCGTACATTGTCAATTTGCACCCCAATTATCTGTTTAAGCCAATGCATTGTTGTGTGTTGCAAGGTGGATTTTAGACTTCTGACTGCATACAGACATCCTGTTTCATTGCTTTTGCTCCATAAAAAGTCCGAGTAATCCCCTCCAGCCCCAGTAACTACCGTATTTTTCGCTCTATAAGACGCACTATTTTCCCCCTCAAAAGTAAGGGGAAATGTCTGTGCGTCTTACAGAGCGAACGTGTGTGTGCCCGACACCCAGGACGCTGCCAGCCCGCCTGCACCATGTGGCACCACCTGACCGGCACGCGCTCGGCACACGCTGCTCGCCCCCCCCCGTCACAGGTGAGAGCTGTGCCGCTCAGGGGGAGGCGTGTGGAGGAGGAGGAGCCGCAGGCTTTAACCTGCCGGCCGCACGGAGAGACGGACTGCTCACCCCCACCGCCCGGGAAGACCTGCTGCTGCCCGCCGCCGGGAAGACCACTGCTGGCATGCTGCCGGCCCGGCTGCACCACACCTGGCCGGCACGCGCTTGGTGCACCCTGCTCCGCCCCCCTCCTCCGGCGCAGGTGAGAGCTGTTAATCACAGGTCGGTGTGTGTTTTCAAAT